AGCTACGTACCAAATCAATTTATGTATTTCTTAGTGTATAAAAATGTTCCTTTTAAAAAAGAAATATTCCCTTTCTGTGAATTAAAGATAGCCCCTTAAGAACTAGATTAAATTGCCACCAGGTGCTCTGCTGGAGAAGGAGGAGGCAATCTCCTGTACCAGTCAGATCTGATTTGATGGCACAATACACAAAAAAATAATACATTTTTTTTAAAAAGAAGAACTAGATTAAGTTGCCCCTTTTCACCACTCTTACTCAAGAGAGCTCTTGTAGCCTAGTAGTTAAAAACTGTGCTGCAATCCAAAAGGCTTGCAGTTTGAATTCACCAGCTGCTTAGCCAGAGAAGGATGGGCAGTGGCCTCCTGTGCAATTTACTGCTTCTAAAAACCAAATGGAGGGTCAGGTATGAGTTGGTTCCAACTCAATGGCAAACAGCAACAATATTCACTATTGTATTGAAAGTCACAGGCAGTGAAATAAGAAAAGGAGATAAAAGGCCTCCACGTTGACAAAGAGAAAGTAAAACTATCTCAATTTGCATACAGATCCTATATATAGAAAATCCTTAAGACTCAGCAAGAAGATTTCTGGATCTAATTAACCAATTCAGCTAAGTGACAGAGTACACAATCTACTTTTAAAAATGGGTCACATTTCTCTACAGGAACAAAAATGAACTCTGAAAAGAATAGAAGGGGAAACTACCATTTATAAAACACTAGTGTAAGAAACCCAAAGAGATCTATATAAATGGCAAAATATATCATAATCAGAAAATTTAACATTATGAAAATGGCATTACTTCCAAAAGCAGTCTACAGGTAAGATGCAATTCTAATCCAGATCCCTTCATCATCTTTCAAAGAGTTAGAAAAAGTAATCACTTACTTTACATGAAAAGGAGAAAGATCCTAGATCAGCAAAGCACTAGAGAAGAAGGAAAACAAATCCCAGAGATGCCTCCAAAAAAGAAAAACAGAAACAAAGCAGGAAGCCTTCTTCCTAATCTCAAAACCTGCTGTATGGTCACAGTTACCAGAACACCTTGGTACCAGCACAATGACAGATACACTGACCAATGAAAAGGAATTGAGAGTCCAAAAAGAAAGTCATCCATCAGATGATGTTTGAGGAAGAAATAAAACCTATTAAGTGAGAAGAAAGACAGCCTCTATAACAAATGGTAGTGTCAAAGCTAGGTTTGTGTTTGCATAAAATGAAAACAAGACTTGCACCTCACACTATAAAACCAACAAACAAACAACGAACTCAAGGTGGATCAAGGACCCCCGTGTAAAACCTAAACTATAAACATCATCAAAGGAAAATATGGGGATAAACTTTGGCAACCTCTTCAGTGACATAAAAACTCTATTAAATATAACTGATACTGCACAGTCAGCAGAGGATAAACTAGATGATTGGTACTTTCTAAAAATGAAATCCTTATGTGCATCAGAATAGTTCTCCAAAAGAGTAAAAAGAGGACTTAACAACTAGGGGAAAATATTTGGCAGTGACATATTTGACAAGGGACTTGTTTGTGTAAAATATATAGAAAACTCCTAATACCTCAATAAGAAAAAGACAAGCAGCCCAATTGCAAAATAAGCAGAGGTCAAAAATAGACACGGCACCACAGACATTTTGATGACTGACAAACACAAGATCATTGTTGTTGTTGAGTACCTTCAGGTCAGAACCATCTTGTAGCCCAGTGGGTTTTCAGAGGTTGTAAATCACAAGGCAGGAGATTTTTCCATCTTTCTGCTGCTGAGCAGTTGGTGGATTTGAACTGCATGCCTTTGGGTTGGCAGTGCAGTTCCTTATCACTAAGCCACCAGAGCTCCCCCCAGAACATTACCTGTTCTAAAAAGTTCATTGCTGTTCAGTTGGAACCAATTCATAGATGTCCCTCCATTTGGATTTCCAACGCGGTAAATCACAGAGAGGCACAACCTTCAGGTTAGCAGTGCAGCTCCCTATGGACTAGGCCACCAGAGCTCTTCCCTGAGCTAGTAGACAACAATGAGCTACCGTCTCTACCCAGCAACTCTAACAGTGCTCAGTAAGACAGCAAACAGCAAATGCTGGTGAAGGTGTTGTTGTCATTGTTATGGTTAGGTGCCATCGAGTAAGACTCATAGTGACCATATGAATAAAAAGATCTGAACCCTGTTTTATCCTGAACCATCCTCACACTTCCTGACACACAAGACTATGTGTGGCCAGGGGTGGACTGCAGGTAGCATCATCAATTACTCATATGCAAATTCAAACTGAGGCCGAAGAAAATGAAAATAAGTTCACAGGAAACAAGGTATGATCTTAAATCAATTCCTTCTGAATTTTAAGATAATCTTAAGAATAGGTTTGAGGCATTGAACACCAATGATCAAATACCAGATGAGTTGTGGCATGGTATCAAAGATATTATCCATGAAGAAGACAGAAGGTCATTACAAACGCAGAGAAGAAAAAATCGAACTGGATGTCAAAAGAGACTCTGAAGATTGCATTGGAGCATCAAGAAACTAAAACAAGAGGAAAACATGTTGCAGTGAAAGAGCTGAACAGAATAGTTCAAATGGCAGCTTGGGATGACAAAGCAAGGTATAATGGTGAAGGTGTAGAGAGACTGAAACTCTCACACAGTGCTGATGGGAATTTAAAAGGATGCAACTACTGTGGGAAGTAATTTGACTCTTCCTTAGAAAGCCAGAAATAGGGAGCTCTGGTGGCCTAGTGGCAAGAAACTGCACTGCAATCTCAGAGATAATGTGGTTCAAATCCACACCACATGCTCTGCTGGAGAAGGATGGACAATCTCCTCCCGTACCAGTCAGATCCGATTTGACAGTACACACGCAAAAAAATAATAAAATAAAAATAACTTTTTTAAAAAAAAAGAAAGCCAGAAATAGAAATAACCTTTAAAGCCTGTAATCTTACTGTTATATTATTGTTGTTGCTGTTGTTGTTGTTACTATTATGTCCTGTAGAAACCGCTTCATAGCTAATCCTCCAGCAGGTTTTGAGAGGCTGTAAATCACAAGGAAGGCGATTGCCCATCCCTTTCTTGAACAGCAGCTGATGGACTTGAAACTTCTTACCACTACAGAGCTCCCCTAGACATCCTACTGCTAGGTATATATCCCAAAGAAATAGGAAGCTATAAAATCAACGGATCTATGCATATCCATGTGCATTATTCACAGTAGCAAAGACTTAAAAACCACCCGAGTGTCCCTCAGCAACAAATGGCTGAAGAAACATTCACACAATGGAGTATGATTTGTCACTGAAAAAAAGGATCCAAAATTCGTGAAATAGGGAACAACATGGATTAACGTGTTATGCTGTATGATTTAAATCAGTCCTAGAAGGACCATAACAGAAAGCTAAGGAAAGGTTAACAAACAAATAGAATCATTCTTGGATGGAAAGAGGAGTGAAAATAAGTAGGTAAATTTCAGGGAGGGAAAGACAGTGTACAATAGGAGCTTGGCTAGATATTTTAATTAATTTTTTTTTTAATTTTTGTGTGAGTGTACCATCAAATCAGATCTGACTGGTACAGGAGGAGATTGTCCTTCCTTTTCCCTGCAGAGCATTTGGTGGATTCGAACCGTGTGCCTCTGGGATTGTAGTTGCAGCTCCTTGCCACTAGGCCACCAGAGCTCCCCATTTTAATTAATTTTTGCATTGTTCTTGGTAGGTGCCAGCGAGGCAAGGGTGACTCACAATGACTCTTTGAATATCAGATTTAAAACTTGCCCTTTCCTGTGCCATCCTCACAATCTTGATATACTTGAGTCATTGTTACAGTGTCAGTCCGTCTTGTTGAGGATCTTCCTTTTCATTATCAATTCTAATTAAGATTAAAAAACAATACTTATGAATGTTTGAATGAAAAATCAATATATGATTAGTAGAATTTTCACTCAACTGAAAAAAGATTACCGCTTAAGAAAATAAACTGGTTTTGATGCCCTGGATGTATTTCTCCACATCTAGTGTTCTGCTAGAAAACTTTCTTTCTGGAACAGTTGTAATATTTTTATATAGGAATGGTCATATGAGAATGAGGATGTGTCCGTCTCTCCTCCCTGCCCTGTCCCTTTCTGTTTACTCACACTGTGTATTCATCCTGGAAGAACGCAGCAGGGTTGTAGTTCTACCACACTGCAGAAATGAATCCTTGTTCCTCTTTGAAAAGCACCAGGCATTGTCTGGAAATGCTATAGCTTGTTTTGACTGTGTGAGAATACGTGCGCTTGGAAAGCATGCCTTTCCCTTTCTCCTGCTCTCTTGATACCTGGACAGCTGAAGGATGATTTTACAATCTGGAATTAATGACCTACTCTGGGGGCGACATTTGGCAATTTCTCTTGTGTGAGTTATACTTCCCAATGCATTCTCAAGGTCAAGGGTGAGACTCTTGGCATCAGATCTCAGATTTGCCAACTCGGCTAGCCCTCCCCTTCGCTGGTATGATTTCTTACTCTTCACTTTTATGAATCATAAAGGAGCATGCATGGAAAATCTTTTTATAGAAACAGGCTTATTGTTTCTAGTCCCTGCCTTTCTATTTTGGTGACCTGGAGAAAGAAAAGACTTAAAAGCTCTGTCCTACTTTTTTCCTCCCACCCTGTCCCACTTTTAAAACACAGGCAGAGTCCAACAGTATAACAGCTCTGTTGTGAAACTCTTATTTGTATCCAAAACCAAGACAACTTTATTTGACACCGTCAATGATAATTGGAACTTTGGAAAAAGTGCAACACATTAAGACACAAAAATGCCTCAGCTAATAAAAGGAATGTATCATTGAAAATTACAACTCAATAAAGGGCAAGTTGAAATGATTTCACACAGAGGAAATAGCTACTCCTTGGCTAGCAATGATGCAAACAGATGGCAATGCAGTTAATGCCTTCGTATACACAACTTTTGCAATGTATTTACTGGGACTTGTATTGTTTCTTCTTTTTGACAGGTTGTTGGAGAACTAGGTGTCAAGATGACTGAGCGCTTTGACTGCGACCATTGTAATGAATCTCTCTTTGGCAAGAAGTACATTTTAAAGGAGGAGAACCCCTACTGTGTGAAGTGCTTTGAGACCCTCTTTGCCAACAACTGCGAGGAGTGCAAAAAGCCTATTGGCTGTGACTGCAAGGTACCTGGCCTGGGTCCCCTTTGGGGGTCCACATCTGACTGATCTGAGCAGGGTAACTCATTTGAGTATCATTCCTGGACTTATCCAATCCCCAGCTGCCATCGTCTTCTCTGCATGGTTTCATCCTTATCACCTATCTACTGGAATTCTACTTTCCAGTCCCTCAGATAGGCCAAGACCTTCAAAGAAGCCTTTCCCAAGTTCCCTCTTAACTTACCACTCTTACCTCCCTAGCACTGGTATAGTGCATTTTTAAGCTATTGGCCTTCAGTGGACCAAATACAATTTGGCTCTTGGAGGTATCAGTTCCCCTGGCTGTCCCACTCCTTAGCACTTACTCCGGTCTGTTTGCTTGGTGGTGACTCACATGTAACAGGTGCTGCTCCGTAAATATTTGCTGGATGATTATATAGGTATGTGAATGGAAACTAGCTTTTAGAAAATAGGTACTAAATTTCTTGTACTATTATGAGCCCTTTTAGTGAGTGGGAAATATACTGGTCATTTATATTTAATGGGGAAAAGATTCGTGCATACAGAGTAAGTTCTTAGAGGGCCAAATATGATTCTATAGAGGCCACTGGTCATTTGTGCTGACTGACGTGGGGTGACTGTGAACCATGGCTGGTACTTCACAATATAGTCTTTTTTTCTTGTGTGTGTGTGTATGTGTGTGTGTGTGTGAGTGTACCGTCAAATCAGATCTGACTGGTACAGGAGGAGATTGTCCCTCCTTTTCCCGGCAGAGCATCTGGTGGATTCAAACCGTGTGCCTCTGGGATTGTAGTTGCAGCTCCTTGCCACTAGGCCACCAGAGCTCCCCCACAATATAGTCTTAATCGAACATTGATGACTGAAGGTCATCCTGGTGTCCTTGGTGTGTTTGTTGTTGTTGTTGTTGGTATGAACCATCATGTCAGAACTGACTTGTAGCTGACCCTACAGTGAGTTTCAGAGGCTGTAAATTGCACAGGCAGAGATTGCCCATCTGAAAGATTGCAGCTGGTAGATTTGAACAAGAGTTCCTCCTGGTGTCCTTAAGTGTTGATTGAAATCTCTGATACCTTAACCTGCAAATAGTAGTAAAACACATGTGACAAGTACTTAGGGTAATGAGTCACAGAATTCATTATGAAATGAGGCCATTTGGGAGTCTCTGAGGATTCCCAGCTTGGTAACTTCCGAGCTAGTTCACTGCAGTTGAATGTCTTTTCTGCTGTCTTTTCTTTGCGCACACGGCATTTATATCTCCCAACTCAGTGGGTGTCGATGCCTGATTGTAGTCTATGCCTTCATTTGGATACTCTACATGCATTCCAGTTTCTTCTGTAACATAATTCCTAGGAAAGAACACTCAGAAAGCAGCACCATTCATTTCTATTGAAAGCTATGTAGTGACAATGGCAGAATGATTGCCATCTTGTGCAGAAGAAAACCTTTGCCCTGAGTGGAGATAAATGTGCCACACAGGCTACTTGAAACCAGGCTGCAGCACAATATATCTTTTGGCTTCTGAACGGGAGTGGCCTGCCAAGTATAAGAGAACTGAAACTCGTTCATAGTAGTGTGTAAATAAATGCTAGTGTGGTCCAAACGGGTGGCTACACTGAGCAAAAAAAAAACCCGCTGATGTTGCATGCTTAAAATGAGCTGTCTTTCTGTCTCAAACTTTGCCTGATACATATCTCATTGTCACTAATGTACATTCTTAAATTTTTCCCCCCTTCATTTATTTAATAGACAAACAATGGTCCAGACATCCAACTACCTGCTTCAGATGCACTCTCTGGGGCCCTCTGCTGTGTGAAACTGAGCTGGTTCTTGATCTCTCAGTGCCCATCTCCACAAGTAGAAAATTGAAATAATAAGGGTACTGTTAAAAAACAATGTTGGCAGCACGGAGGTGGCCAAGTATGACCTCTGTTAACTTCACAAAGGGGAATAGCCCTCATCAACGATATCCACAATACTAACCCAATTTTCATAGGTTAGACATGGCCTCCATGCTCCTGTATCTGCTTCTACTAATACTAATTTTAACTGCTCTGTCTACTGAGTCTGAAATCCATTGCAGTAGCTACATAGACCTCACAGAACCATACACAATGTTTTGTGTTTGTTGTTGTTGTTGATTGTTGTCCAGTTGAGCACAACTCATAGTGACGCTATGAACAAAAGGCCTGGAGCCTTTCTATAACTATCATCGTTTATCAAAGCTCATAGTTTCCAGAGGCATGTTGTTTAGGAAGTGGATGCCACTCCTGCTTAGTTTACAACCCAAGTTAGTAGCAGTATACAGTTCCTCAGGAAGAACAGCTTCCTAGGGCTACTTGCAGGCTCTTTGACCTTCAGCCTCATAATTTAGGCCAGTATGACAGAGTGGTCCTAGCCTGCCAATCCAGGAAGCTTCGATAAAGGCCCCTGGCACTGTCCCCATGGGGCAGCAATCCCAAGTGAGCTCAATCTCAGGTCAGTCTCTAGTTCTTTGCTGTAACTGCTGGTGCTCTTGTGTGGGTCCCAGTCTGGCTGGCACAAAGATCTTGGGCCCCACAGGGCATTCTCTACTGCTGCTTCCTTGCTGGTTATGAATTTCCCACCTTTGCTGCTAAACTTACTCCATTTGTTGTTGTGTTTTGTTGGGTTGTTTGGTTTGGGGGTTTTGGTGAGAAAAATTTGTATTTAGTATTAGCCAGCTGGACTCAGTTTTAGGTGATCCCAATTTTGTTGGCAGCATCCAAAGCATCATAGTCAGGAGCTAGTTGAACATAGGCCCTCTGCTCTCCATCAGGCCTCATCAAGGTGTTGACCTTGGCCACGTCAGTGTCGTAGAGCTTGGTTGCAGCTTGTTTGATTTAGTGCTTGTTGGCCTTAACACCCACAATGAGCACAAGTGTGTCATTATCTTCTAGCTTCATGGCTGACTCAGTGGTCAGGGGAAACTTGATGATGGCATAGTGGTCAAACAGGTTTCTCCTGGGGGTGCTCTTCCAGCGGTGTTTTGGCTGCCCTTGGAGTCTCAGCATCTTCGGCAGCTAGAAGGTGGGTGGCATGTGGATCTTCTTTATTTTTGTGGCTGTGGATGCCCTTCAGGGCTGCCTTCTTGGCCTTTAACTCCTCTGCTTTAGCTTCAGTTTTGAGAGGGGCAGGGGCTTCCTAGGAAGCTAAACTTAATCAGTTTGAATTTAGTGGGAATGGAGGAGAAAACTAACAAATCCTATCAGTTGTTTATCCATCTAGTTTGTATATTCTCACCCAGCTGTGTGGTGAAAGTTAAAGCTAATGAGTTAGAAAGCCTGTTTTGCCTGGACCCACGGTGTAGAATTATTATGATCAGTATAGATGTAGATTTTTAACACTATTTGCTATGACCCACACAGTCAAACGAGCCTTTGCATAGTCAATGAAACACAGATAGACATTCCTCTGGTATTCCCTTCTTTCAGTTAAGATCCATCTAACATTAGCTACT